CGCTCAGTGGCTCCAGCATGTGGCAGCTTCCCAGCCAAGGTCAAGATCCAGTGATGTGACCAGTGCGGTCTTTAAGGAGAGTGAGAATGCTGAAGCCGGGGCTGGGGACGGGACTCAGCAGTAGCAGTCGCCAGGAGCCACAGGCTTGGGGTCACAGTGCAGGGCACCACTGACATGGAGCCCCTGCATGGTTCTGAGCACACCTGCCTTGCTGCGTGTGGCAGCCGGGTAGCCGGCACCAAGCCCTTGATCCTGTGCGCTAGGTACTGGCCAAGTACTGTGAGTATCACCTCATGTGGTACAGACAAATTTCATGAACAGGCTCTGTTCTGACACACAGCCCACAGCAGCTGTCCCTCCCACCCACCTCTGCTGTTCTAGCCAGAAAGTGGCCTGGATGTGCGTACTGAGAGTGTGGCTATGCCTCAAGGCTTCGGAATTCACACTGAAGGCCCAGGTTTTCAGATTCCAGTTGCCAGGGGTAGGCAGGTTTGGCCTCTATTGAAGAAAGACAGAGCCGAGACTTGAACCCAAGTCTGAAGAGTTCCAAGGTCTCTAACAGATATTAGCCATTTCACCTTCCTTTCCTCCTGTGACCCGTGCCTCTCCCCAGCAGCTCTTCCTTAAGGCCTTTCGTCTTTTTCTCTTTTCAGCACTGAGCTATCACTGACCCCCTCCCCAGCAGTGTCAGATCTCTCAGGACATCCCAGCAACTTGCAAAGGCCCCCGGCCCTCCCTCACAGGCCTGCTTGGCCCCTGGGACAGTCCAGATGTCCCTGTGCTTTGAAGTTGTGTAGTACTTGGCAAATGCTTAGCTCAAAGCTGAGGGCTGGCGCTGGCTACCAGGGCTGCCCCTTCCGCAAGGCAAGTTGGCAAGATGGGCATTACACAGCTTCAAGGCTTCTTGTGAGAAAGCCTCTTTTGTGACCCAGTTTGTGTGAGGTTCTTCCACATAGAAGCCTTTATTAAATCAAAAGGCAGGAAAGCTGGCTTTGTAGTTGTTAAGCCCTGAGGGTTCCCAACAGGCCTCCCCACCCCATCGGTATACAAGGACCTCACATGTGCTGTTCACTGCGGTTTCCTACCTCTGAACCCATATAGAGAAAAGGAGCCGTTTGCCCACCAGCAGCTCTGGGCCAATGAACCAGCCACCACTGGATACAGTGGTGCATACCTGTAGATCTGGTACTCTGAGAGGCTGAGGCAGGGGGGTTGCAAGTGTGAGCTAATTCTGGGAAACTTAAGGACTTACCAAGACCCCATCTCAGAAGTAAAAATTTAAAAGGCCTGGGCAAAGGTCCTAAGTTCCATTCCCACCTACTGCCATGGCTCATCGCCAACCTCACTGGAAAGCAAAGAGGGCCTGGAGTGGACCCTTGAGCCAGGAATCAGATCTGGGGTGCCGTGTGACATCCCTTGTGGCAGGGCCACCTGTTCAAGGTGTATGAGGAATCACAAGACAGCAGAGCACACCAGACCCCTCTCTGAAGGTCCTGGCACAGACTGAGTCCTCCCCGTGGGGACTGAGCCCGGGGCAGCCAGCCTTCAGCAGTGGCCAGTGACCTGGGATGAAGGCTCTCAGCCGGCCGACTGGAGGTTTCTTTCTCTGCAGTTTAGTGGGAAGGAGAGACTGAGATCGCCCACTGGAAGCGAAGGAAACCAGAGTCATAAAAATTCCCCAAACCTGCTGACAGCTTTTCTCACACAGCAGTCGGAATGACCTTTTAAAGCTCGGATCAGACGCGCTCTTTCCTGGCTTGAACCCACCCGTCCCGTCCCTGGAAACACTGCGGGCTCGTTCATGCCTCTCGGGCACACTGCGCCTTTGTGTTCTCTGAACAGACCCCACTTGTTGAAGGGGTACGCGTCGGGCCCCACGCGGACACCCCCTGCAGTCCCAAGCCTGGATCTTCAATGTGGTCCTGCGTTAAACTCCATTGGAGCAGGCATGTTTCCTTGGGGAGCTCAGCATCACATCATTGAAATTGTGTGCGTGCGTGCATGTGTTCACCCCTCTTTTGGCTTCGCGAGAGCAGGCACCTTGCTTGCTTAGTTGCACTCCTGTGTGTCCAGGGTCTTCCAGGAGCTCAGACCTGTGGATGGCGTCACCAGTTGAACATCACAGCCTCCGCAGCGGTCGTTCCTGCTCTTGGCTCAGGATGATCGCTTTGACCCTGGACTTCCTGAATTCTCTCTCCCCGTGCATCGCTAGGTGTATAACTCTACCTCTCTCAGATATTAACTTTGTCATCTCCTGAAGTTATAGAGCTTATTTCTATTTTCCTCCTTGTAACTTTGGCAACATACAGCTTGTTCTTATAGAGAGGGTGTGAGTACCTGACTCTGGAAGATTTGGGGCACAAACAGACTAAGGACAGGAGAGTAACCAGGGGGCCACAGTAGGTATTAAAGTGTGGTGTGGCCAGGCGTGGTAGTGCACACCAAGTGCTGGGGAGGCTGAGTTAGAAGGATCACCACAAATTCGAGGCCAGCCTAGATGACATAGTGAGACCCTTGAGGGGTCTCTGGAGCTTGTAGAAGAAGTGGGTATCCAGGACACCCCCCCCCCGCCAAATTCCAGCTTGAATCAGGGTATTCTAATACTTTGGCTTCCAAACAAATTGGCCCCACAGACTAAAAAAATAATCCCACAAAGGGGGGTGGGGTGGGTCATAGCAGGAGATTGAGGCAACTGCTTATTTTGTCAAAGCCCATTTTAAACTACATAATACTGTCACAGGCATTTTTTAGGAACCCAGAAATTAGAAAGGATGTCAGCGGCAAACAAGCAGCCTTATGGAAACAATGAGAAGAAAGAAGGTAATTAGGATTCTCATTTTAGAAGTGGCTCCGAGAAGGCTAATTCCAGGGGGAAAAAAAAAACCAGCAGATATGTTTCTGTATCGTGCCACTTAATCTGGCTGCATCCAAATTGTACCAACACTTTTTCCAGTTTATGAAACTCTTTATGTACATGGTCTTAATCCACCTCACAGCACCCCATGAGTGGTGTTAGTAACAGAAATGCCACACGCAGCCCAACAGGCCGCCTCTCATCCATGCCCCACTTTCCCACTTCTGTCTCCTGCCTGGAAAGCTGTTAGCCACGGCCACGTCGGCCACAGACACCACCTCACCTCAATGCCCCACGTACCCCCTGCCCAGCTGTCAACCTGCAGGCTGGGAAGAAACAGCTTCCACCCTCTTGCCAGCCACCCAAAGCAACATGGTATCCTCAGGAGGGTAACTGAAAACCAGGGTGGGGCTGCCACACACCATCTGCTTCTCACAGAGACCACATAGGTAGGCACTGGCTCCCCAAGGCCTTTTTCTTTTTAATATGATGTCACTGTGCAGTTCAGGCAGGTGTTGAACTCACTTTGAGCCCAGGCTGGCCTTGAACTCACACAGCTGCCTGGCCTATAAGAGCTAGGATTACAGGATTATAGGCCTGGGTCACCATACCCAGGAAGACCATATTTTATTAACAATTACCCACAAGTATTAATTGAGTGCCTAATATACACCCAACTAGACACTGCCCCTGCCTGGCATTGAGAAGGGGCACAACTGTTAGAAGAGCTGGACCCAGAGAGGCAGGGCTCAGGTCTGAATGCCCACATCGTTACTACAGGCAGCGAATGGCTGGCCAGCGGCTATCCCTGTGAGAGGTTTGTTTGTTTGTTTGTTTGTTTGTTTGTTTAACAATTTTTTGGTTTTTCATGGTCCTGGGGGTTGAACTCAGGACTGGCACATGAGGGCAGGGCAGGTGCTCTACCACTCAGCTGTACCCCAGGCCTGAGACACTCTGTAACGTTCCCTGGCTCTCGCCCTCCCTGCTCCCTTAAGCATTTCTAGGATGAGGAGCAGTTTGTAGCGGAGGGCCCATCCTGCCTGAATTACAAGTACACTACCACATTTCAAACTGCTCTGGCACAGCAAGGCTGTGAGTAGCCCAGCATTTGGTGAAAGATCACAGGCATCCCTTTGTAACTGGGCACAGACCCTGCAGGCCCTACATTTCCTGCCCTCTTCTCTGGTGTGGGCAGAGTGGGCATCTGGACAATTTGCGCAGCAAATCTGGAATTATGGAGAGGTTATTTGTCTCAGTTACTTTTCTCTTGTTGCTGGAACAAAATACCCAACATCCACAATTAAGGAAGGAAAGGATGATTTAGGTCACAGTTAGTGGAGGTTTCATTCTGTACTCAGCTGGCTCCAAAGCAAAGTAGCGCGTGGCAGAGGGCAGCCATTCATGGCAGCGGAAAACAGCAAAGAGCAGAGGCAGGAGCCACAGTTCGGCCCCTAGCAAGCTTCTTTCCCCTCATGGCATTGTAATACAGATTATCTGCCCAGGGCGAGTGTAGCACTCACACCCATAATCCCAGCATTGGATCATGATTCTAGAAGCTGCCTTGTGACTGTATGGGGCCTTGAGGGGGACAACTAGACACAAACCACAACACTGCTGGACAACTGGGGTAATATTTTCCTTTTATCATGCATTTATCTACATTGTCTTTGATAAGCACATCGTACTCTTTAAAATACCCTTTCTTTTTCTGACATAACTGCATTGTGAAACAGAAACACAAGCACAATCCCTCTTATTGCAGAATCAGGCCAGAAGCACACACATCATTGTACCAATGAGATCCTGTGACTCCATGTCACCTTACTTGAGTACCCTAGACCAATGGCGGTGAACCGACAGCCTGCGCACCACAGCAGGCTATTTGCTAAGTGCTGAAAGCTCTCAGCATTCACAGTCAGTGCCCTAGACACCTTTACAAGCCTCTTCTCCAGTACTTATGGCAACCCTGTGCCTGGGTTCAGCGGTTACTCTAACTTCACAGATTGGAAAGTGAGTCGCCTTGCACAGGGTTACACACCTACAGGTGGCCAGGTGCACCTGACAGGACACCTGCCCTGCATCAGTGCCCTCAGGAAAGGCTGGGCATGTGAGCCCTCTCTGACCCAGTCTCTGCCCACCTGCGCAGCCTCCATGTACTCAGAGATCCAGCGGGAGCGGGCAGACATCGGGGGCCTCATGGCCCGGCCAGAGTACAAGGAGTGGAACCCCGAGCTCATCAAGCCCAAGAAGCTGCTGAACCCCGTGAAGGCCTCCCGAAGTCACCAGGAGCTGCACAGAGAACTGCTCATGAACCACAGAAGGTAAGGGGATGGCCCTGCTCAGCCTGCCGGGATGTGGGCAGCACCCCTCAGGAGAGGCAGGCCTAGCCCCTCCCGGGGCTCCCGGAGGCTGAGGAGGACTGAGGGGACCCACCTGGTTACTAGCAGAAATTATTATGGTCCACTTCCCAGTAAGCTTCAAAAAGCTCCATCCTAGTAAGCTGAAGCAGGAGCATTCCAAGTTCAAACCCAGCCTGGGCAACTTAGTAAGATCCTCTCTCAAAATTAGAAGGAAAAAAAAAAAAGCTGGGACTATACCTCAGGTGAAGGCCCTGGGTATAATCCCTGGTAGCACACACACAAAAAAGAAGGTCTTCCTTGCAGCCACAGTGAGACTAGACTAGGACACCGGAGAAGGCTGTCTGAGTTACTTTTTCTGTCACTGAGACAGCCACAGCTCTAAGGAGGAAAGAAGTACTTTGGCTCACAGTTTAGAGAGGTTTCAGTTGATAATCCACTAGCTTCGAGGCAGGACAGCAAGGCAGAGCGCCATGGCAGAGGAGAAACAGCCCAGGCTTGGTGACAGGAAGCAAGAGAGGAGGGGGGCAAGGAACTCTTCCAGGCCACGCCCTTGTGGCCGTATTCTCCAACCAGATTTCGCCTCCCAACATCATTTACGTAGAAATTCAGTGCTGGACTAGTCCACAGATAAGTAGCATGGCTCCATGATCCTGTCACCTCCCCCAGACCCCTCCAGTGATCACAGGAGGCTTTGGGGAACATTCAGATAGAAACCGTAACAAAAGGGGACCCAGATCCTGCCCTCCCAGAGGTAACAGGGTGGGTACCCAGATGCAGGTACAAATGGAACTGAAAACCCCAGAGGAGGACCGAGAAGGGGCCGAGGAAGCCTTCCTGAGACCAGTGACACCTCAAGCAGGGCCCGGAGGGGGCAGGAGTCAGCCCGGCAGGAAGTGCCTCGTCCACGCGGGGGTGGTGCCCTGTTTGTGTGGACGACCACACAGGCGACTCGGTGTGGCTGAAGTGAGCCCGGGAAGTGCGGGCCTCGGCTGAGCAGACACAGGGCGTGTGGTCTGCACCTCAGAAAGGCCACCACTAACGTTGCAGAGAAGCATAGGGCGGTGGTGGGCTGTTCCGCAGCAGTGTCCTGGGAAGTCAATGAGAGGCCCCGCTCCAGGGCACCCATGGAGGCAGCAGAGCTAGGTGGGTGTGAACTGGGCGCCAAGGAGGCTGCAGTTCCTCTCCGAGGCCCAGAGCAGGGCTCCTCACTCTCCAGCGGCTGGATGAGGGAGCCGTGGGCTCCCATGGAGACCAGGTGAAGTCTAGGGCCTGCTTGGGATTTCCCTGCGGGGTGATGGGTGTAGTGCTGACACGGCCAGATTCAGTTTGGCTATTTTTTCCAGTTTAGCTGGTTTGGGCTATTTTTTTCACCTCGGGTTGTAACAATACCTTCAGATTACCCCTTTTTAATGTACAAAAAAAAAAAAAATCACATCAAAACCTGGCTTAAAGACAAACCAGAGGAATATATGTAATTTAAAAAAATAAATTATGCTGAAGAAATTGTACAGGCTGGCGAGATAGCATGGCAGTCTAAGCGTTTGCCTGGCAAGTGCAAGGACCAGGTTTCTATCCCCAGTACCAGATGCCATGCAGGTCTCAGAACCCTGAGTGTACTGTGCCCGCCCCAAAACCAGGTGCGGTGGCACACCTGTAATCCCAGCGCTGGGGAGGCTGAGACAGGAGGATCACTGCAAGTCAGAACTGTGTAGCAAGACCCTGTACCAAATAAATAAATAAATTTTTTAAAAGTGTACATACAGAAAACTATTGATATAGTCATAGCTCAGTGGGGGTGGAGGGCAGGGAGATTAACAAAACCAGGCAGAGTTAATTCATAAAAGAAGAAATGTGAATGGTTGGCAATAGCAGTAAAGGCTGTTCTGGCTACTAATAATCAAATTATAACGAAGGAAACAAATGAAACCAGATATGACTTCTTACTATCAGATTCCCAAATATAAAAAGGTTGGCTGTGATAACTGGGAGAAACGTGCCTGGAAGGATGGTGCCGAAGTGGAAATCAGACGACTTTTCTAAGGAAATATGCACAACCCTTGAAAGGGGCTCAACCCTGCAAGTCCACCTTTAGAAACTTGTCCTACGAAAATATCCAGAAACCGTGCAAAACCTGGTTCCCGAGGCTCTGGGTGCCGATCCTTCCTTGCCTCTTTATAGCTGAGATTTTCAGGGGTCTAAATCTTCTCCAGGAGGTAGGATGGCAATGGCTCCACCTTCTGGGCCTCTGGGGCACTGCAGGAGATGGCAGTACCAATGTCGCGTAAGCTGGGTGGCCCGGGGCCCCGAGGAGGGGGAGAAGGCAAGGCTCCCCTGACCGCTGCTCCCCGCAGGGGCATCGGAGTGGACAGCAAGCCTGAGCTGCAGCGAGTGCTGGAGCACCGCCGGCGGAACCAGCTCATCAAGAAGAAGAAGGAGGAGCTGGAGGCCAAGCGGCTGCAGTGCCCCTTCGAGCAGGAGCTGCTCCGACGGCAGCAGAGGCTGAACCAGGTGGGAAAGCTCCGGGCTGACTCCGAGCTCCCGCCCACGCTGCGCGGCCCCAGGGGTACCAGCTTCCCGGCTGCCTGTTCAAGCTTTCCGATTCGCCGTCTTACCTGCCCCAAGCTGGGGAGCCAGAGGGCTGAGCGAACTGCACCGGGCTTCCAGGGCCCCGTCTGTGCCCTGCACCCTCCCTTACAGGGCTGGCACCGCCCTTCCTCACTGAGGGACCTATGGCTCAAGCTCAGCTTTTGGCAAGGGGTCCATTAGCCCCACCCACTTGACACCTCTGCTTGTCTCTCCCCCAGCTGGAAAAAAACCCGGAAAAGGAAGAGGAACACGCTCCGGAGTTTATCAAAGTCAGAGAAAACCTGCGCAGGATCACCACGCTGACCAGCGAGGAGAGAGCGCTGTAGAGCCCCCTGGTGCCAGGCCTGGGCCAGACCCCTCCGCAGCCCTTCTCCCTTGCAGGCCTGGGTCCCTGGCCCTCCCCAATGCTGACACCTGCTTCCATAGAAGTGTGTTGTCCGGGGGCTCAGCACTCCCAGTGTAGCTAAGGACCCTGAGCTCCTGGACTTGCCCTTCTGACCGTTTTCCCCTCCTGCCCCCAACTGAAGCCACTGCCAGGAAAACACACGCCCTCCCCGGTCCTGAGCCCTGCAGAGGGGACCTTCCTGCAGAACTGGAGAGGGAAGACAGGCCTGGCCAACAGCTGTGCCTGTGGCTTTGCCTGGGTGTGGGTGTGGGACAGAGCTGAGTTTCAAGGACCCCTTCCCTAAGTCACCAGGGGGAGAGAGGCTAAGCTATCAGTGGTGAGGAAGGACAGGACAGCTCCCAGGCAGCCACCAGGGCCAGGCCAGAAGGGAACAAACCAAGAGGGCTTGCCAGGCTGCATCTGCATGCCACAGTCCTGTCTGCTCGTCACAGCCCTGCTGTCAAGCCCAGGATCCCCCCGCCCAGCCAGGCTGCAGCCCCCTGAGTTCCTTGCCCGCAGGAAACCCTGGGGAATCTACAGAAATAGCTTTGGTTGGTGGACCTGAAAGGGCACTGAGGTTCCGCCTGTCTTACGTGCTGCCAGGTAGGGGGACTTTGAGGGCCATTCTGTATGTGCAAGGCAGGGGCATCCAGAGTCTTGGCCAGAAACAGCACCCATTCACACAGCCTTCCAGCCGCGGGGAGGAGGGCTCCCAAAGCCCCTGGCAGCCCCACCCCAGGGATGCCTGGCTCTGAAAGACTTCCACCCACAAACTGTGCTGGGTATGTGATTGTCCTTTTCCCTAGGGACCTCCAGAATTGGCAGTCTCCGTTTCCCACAGTGTGACCACACCATTACAGAATTCTAGCCAAAAAGAAAAATAATTTCACCTTTTCCACCACCTTTTTGGAAAGCAAATGTACAGTGATTCCCAGGCGGCTTCTGGAAATACATGCAGCAGCCTGAGGACCCCACTGTGTGCCGGCGGCCTGGCCTCCCTGAGCCCGTGTTCCTGACCTCTGTCCCCTGAGACTCCTGAAAATACCTGGGCAAATCCACCCACTCTTCCTGTTCCAGCCCAAATGTTTTAACCTTTGACACCTATGCCATTTTTAATAATTTAGAGAATAAGCCTGCACTGTTACTGTTCCCCTGAAGAATAAAATGCCTGCCTTGAGGCTTGTAAGCCATTTATTGAAGGTGACAGAAAAGCCAGGTATGGTGGCACACATGGACGATCCCAGCACTCTAGGGGGCTGAGGCAGGAAGATTCCACGTTTGAGGCCAGTGTCGGGAACTTAACAAGACCCTGTCTAAAACTGAAAAGGGTTAGGGATGTGACTTGTCTACCGCATGCAAGGCGCTAGATTTGCTTTCCAGCACTGCAGAGACGGCAGGACAGCAGCCTGGTGGAGTATGAAGGCCAGTGGAACCCTTGAGCTTGCCCCCAGGGTCCCCAGAGCTGCTACATGGGATGAAGCCCCAAAAGCAGAAGGGACCTCCAGCATCCTGTCACCCAGCAGGTCCAAGGCAGACACCCCAGTACACTCCTGTTGATCATCCCCCAGCCCCCCTCTCAACCCACTTCCCATGAGACAGGCTAGAAGTGCAGGTTCTTGTGGCTCCACTCTGCTTCACAGCTTGGGTGGCCATGTGACCTGGTACGGCCGACGAAGCTGAAGTGGAAGTCTGCAGGGGCTTTGGAAAGGCTTCCACTTTTCTGATCAATGGACACATGGCTAGCTCCTTCTCCGTACCCCTCCCTTCTTCCTGCCTCGATTTGAGGATGTGATGCCTAGAACCACAGCAGCCACTTTGCTGCATGAGAAAAAAGCCAAGAGAGTCACAGAGATCCTTTGACCAAGCCATGAATGGCAACAGCTACTTTCTCAAGAATTCTTGTAGGGGCCAGGGAGATAGCTCAGTAGAATAAGCTCTTGCCTGGCAAGAGCAAGGGCCTGAGTTCAATCCCCAGTTCTGAAAAAAAGAAAAATTTTTGTAAATAATAATAAATCCTTGTTTGTCTAAGCTATTGATGGCTAGTCTCTGTTACCTACAACTCAAAGTGTTCTAAGTAACAATAAAAATTGTTTCTCAGCGTCTTAGCTAAGATCAAATATAGCAACTACGTGCATACCTAGAAATGCCTTCAGACCGTCCTAAAAATTCAACTTTATCTTTCCCCCATAGAAACCTATCCTATGAGGATCCCCTGTTGCTGCACTTGGGTTCTCTTTTTTTTTATAACTTCCAACAAACTGGTAACAGTCAGAATGAAAATTTAGGCATTGGTAATGAAGTGCTTTGCTTGTTGAGGGCCCACTCCCATGCCTCTTGCTGGGGACCTGCCCCTGGGCTGCGTGATGGCTGTATCCTCCCCCTACCTGGTCTCCCTGCCAGACGCTCACCCTGACGGCCTGGTCTCTCCTCAGCACTCAGAGCCCTCCTGCAGCAGCTTTAGGCCCATGGCAGCCCTCTGCACAGCACCCTCCCCTGGCTGCAAGAGGAGGTTCTTCCTGCCCTCTGCAGGGTTCTCCAGCTCCAGCCTCCCCGCGCCCTCAAGGCTGCGCCCCTGGCCTACGCCAGCAGCATCTTCAAACGGGCCACCATTCACACAGTTCCCATCTAAGGAGTCAGATCACACCGCCTAAAATGCACTCAACCGGTCTATAGCTTAAGCTGGGCCACTCTCAGCACCGTGACTTCAGAGAACCGTCTGACTGGTGTGACACGCAGATTCTCCAGGGAAGCCTGTCCTCTCATGCAGGACAGGAAATGGCCTTGGCAGTCAGCTTGTGGTCAGCGCCACTGCAGCCCACCTGAATGGACAAGCTCCTACCACCCAGGGCCTTTCGTGTGCCCCATGTGACTTCCCTGGTCCTCATGCCCCTAGCCCAGCGATCCATACATCCTGTCAACCCTTAACACATGTATCAGTCTGTCTGAAAAGTGTCAAAGTTGGGCCAGCAAGATAGCTCAGTGGACTAAGCACCTGCTTAAGTAAGCACAGGAACTGGGGTTCGATCCCAAAACCACAGGCTGCACCAGCCCCACCCCTGGGGCGAGCTGAGCTGGCCACCAAGTCCAGGTGTGGTGGCACATGTCTGTAATCCCAGTGCTGGGGAGACTGAAAATAAGAGGACCGCTATGAGTCTGAGCTGCATAGCGAGACCCTGTACCACATGCATTTTTTATTTTTTTAAGTGTCCTAAGTTGTTTATTAGGTTATGAATTTTACAAACATTTATGTTATTAGTGGTAATGGTGGAGCTGGAGAGTATTGTGCCTTCTCCAAGCTGCACAGCGAGAACCACCAATTGTGTGGTGGAACTCGTGGCCCTTTGCAAGGCCACGACTCTTGTGGTCTGCAGATGTCAGCCCACGCATCTCCCTGTGCTTGTGGACTGGTTTGGTGATCCACTGGGTGTCAGGATTTCTTCTAATGGCTTTGTGGAATGGATCAATAAGGATAACCTCACAGAATTCGTATGTGGGCTCATGATCAACCCAGAAAGAATTTAGAACTCTCCGAGCCCCACAGTGGCGTCCAGCTCGCTCCTCAGCCACAGACTGGAGACGTGGTGCAAACTTCAGCTGGTTAACGCCATGATGGGCAGGCCTGCCTTAGGTTGCTCCCTTAGGAGCTGGATGTCTGCGGCCCCCGCATTGCACACGGATCCTGTATGTGACATCCCCTTGCTTGGCCTTGTACCCCATCTGCGAGCTTTGTCCGGCCTTGTGGGGCGAGGAGCCCTGTGTAGCACCGAGAGCTGGTGGTCCTGCCAGGGCAGACCCGCAGCAGAAAGCGCGTCGGACTGCTGCCTCCCCCACAGCTCCTGGATGTGCTTGTACGCACCCGTCTTGGCATACCAGCAGATGGAAGAGCAAAGATCTGAGACACAGCCTCCAAATACACTTTTTAAAAATGTATCAAAGTCATTCCTTCAGACCTCACTCTCTCGTGAAGGCAGCCGTGGAAAATAAAGCTCACACTCTTGGCCCTTCTCCAAATGTCTTCACCTGCTTCCCAGCTCCAGCCAAAGAGACCACAGGACCAACAGGCTATAGAAGGGGTCTCCCCTCCTCTCTAATTTTCCATTTTGCATTGAGTCCCACCGAGCATACTGTGTACTTTCCTCATGTACCATCCACATCTCCCCAACAGTAAGGTCAGCTCCAGAGCACAGGGGTTTGGTCCTTTTTCTTCCTGTTCCCTACGCACAGGGCGTGCAGAAGGTGCTCGGTTGTCTGTCAAATTGAGAAATGAGAGAGTCCTTCTGCTGCAGCCCTGGTGACCTGCGAAGGACCGACCCCTCTGCTTTCTTCCCCCAGTTCCTACCCTACACAGAACAGTCGGTCCCGCCCACAGGTCACCTGCCCCCCTGGCCTTTCTTCAGTCCAAGTCAGCTTTGTGGCTTCTACCATCTGGGGCAGTCCAGAGTGGGATGATCCCTACAGGCAGAAAGTCAGCCACCACCCAGCCCCAGAACCTTCTAGAAGGAAAGTGCCGCTGCCCGGCTTGGGCTGCAGAGCCTGCCCCAACCAGGAGCCAAGACAGCAAGCCCTGTCACACTGAGGCTGCGCCCTCTCCCAGTATTAGTTTGGGCTCAGAAAAACAAAACCCTGTTCCATGGAGCCCAGCACCAAACACAAAGCCTGGGAAGAGGGCCACCTTCAGAGGGGAAGGAACCCCTCCCTCCCTGACCCTGCAGCATGCGTGCCAGGAGGCCTCAGAACGCAGCAGCTCTCACAGAGCAGGCTCACCGCGCTGGAGACCCTTGCCTGGTCTTCCTCACCTTTACCTCAAGACTCAGCCCAGGGCCCTGGGACTTGAAGTGTTCACAGTGATTAGTAACAACCCCTGTACTGTTACCCTTCCCACTCTCCATTGAAGAAACCCAGACCTAGGTAAAATAAGGGTCTTCGCTGCCCTTGTCCATCCTGTCACGGTATCTTAGTCAGCCCGGGCTGCCCACAACAGAACACAACAGACTGGTGAGCTTAAACAATCTTCTCGTGGCTCTGGAGGCTGGAGCCCAAGATCATGGTTCCAACATGGTCAGTTTCTAGTGAGAGCTCTCTTCTTGGCTAGGAGACAGCCACCTCTTCACTGGGCCCTCCAGGGAGAAGGGAATGCACAGAGCAAGCTTTCTGATGTCTCTTCCTTGAAGGGCACTAAATCCAGTCATGAGGGTCCCACCCTTGTGACCGTCTCTAACTACATTCCCAAAGCCCCATCTCCACATGCAATCACACTGAGCATTAGAGTTTTAACATGCGAACTGGGGGCAGTGGGGAGACACAAGCAGTCTACCACACAAACTGATTTGGCTGATGACTTTCTCTCACTCATCTTGAGACGATATGGGGCTGGGCTTATTCTCCAAAGTTAGCCTTCTCATTAAGCAAACTCATCTTCTTTCCAAAAAATAAAAAATAAAAGTCCTACAGAGAAAGAGTGAGCAGTACCGTGCAATGAAAGGCCTCAGTGGCGTTCCTGGGTTGCCTGGCAACAGCTAAATGTACCTGGACCCCTCCAAGTTAAACCTTCCTATGAGACTGGAAATCTTTGCTCTTCTGGGTATCTGATCTAAGATGCTCACATCTCCTGCAAAGCCAACTTCAGGCTCAGCCTGAAAAAAAGAAAAGGCACAACGCGGAGGCCCTTCGCTGGGTCCCACAGCCAAATCAGCACATGCAGGAGTGCCAACACCTGCCACACCCTGGGCCCAGTGACATTGCTTCTGTTACTCTTGGGCATTCAATTAGTGAGATTTATGTTGAGAATCAAGAGCAAAGAGCCCAGCAGGCTGATTTAAAATGTTGTAAGTTTGGCCAGAAAGGAATTGCAACAGCTGGGGATTGCAAAGATAGAGCTGAGAGGATCTCCATTGCTGGGAATTAACAGAACAGAAAAGATGACCCAAGGGCATTGCAAGAAGCAAAAAGTCTCCACCCTTTGCAGCCTCAAAACTGCAAAAGTAAAGACTCTGCTTTGAGGAGAAAGTCGCAGAGCGCCACGTTCCAGAGTGGTGGCAGCATCCACACCAGGTCCCAGAAAGGCGGCAGACCTTGGCGTCATCCATGCGGCACTGGTGTGGGTGCATGCAGAAGTTCTGAGGTTAGGAAGGCTTAGAAAACTTGTTCCTCGGAATCAGGTTCAGAGTGCCCAGTAATC